AATTTAATGCACTCTGCAAACAAGCCTAATTTAATATTACTGAAAGAGTAAACATGCTTCTTCCCCCTGAAAAAGCCCTCAGCTGCACAGTGTAGCTCTGCACAATGTCAGGAGAACATGCACATAGAAAGAAATGTCCTTAAAGACAAAATAACTGTGCTGCACATTGCCTTTTTGACACTTACCTTTTATCAAAAATTATCAAAGATTTTTTTCTGCATATCAGCTGCACAACAAGTTGAGTTTTAAATGGTCACTTATCACTGGAATCAATAGTTCTCTTAAATACCATTGTCACATTAAGAATTTTCCTGGAGTCATGCTTGTAAGAACATTTCTCCAAGACTTTAGGTTTACGTACCATTTGTTAATGATAATACATATTAGAAGAAAATTTTATAAAGACCTCTTAAAAGACTCTGCATGTTTTGACATTTTTATATGAGCATGCATTACGAGTAGGGCTTACATTCTTCTATACTGCTTTGTATGCAGTCTGTGTTTGAAAATACTAATTCTAACCTTCCAGGCTCCAATTCAGCAGCTTTTTTTTTTTTTTTTTTAAACATTTCTAGCCACATGACTGTACCTAATGGAACAGAAAAAAAACAGCCTAAAAGTTGGTGGAGTTTTTTTTGTTTCAGTTTTCTTTGTTTTGGTGCTGTTTTTCTTTTTAAGGAAACAACATTCTTCTCTAAGATAACATCATTATATTTTTTTTTAATTAATTTTAACTTCGCTGATGTATACCTCAACATGCCAAGCCATTTTATTGCTATAGTTCATGTTATTTACTAAGGATTTATCCACTCTAAGATAGCCTGGCCTAAGATAGCCTGGCCTCATCATCTAAAAAGCTGGTACCACGACATTTATAACTCTTGCTAAGATGCCCGCTCAGATCTCCTCATTAAACATGTTATTCCTTTAGCTGCCTCTTCAAATCCTCCAGCAATAAGGGCTGCAAATTAAAAAGCAGTTGCAACAAACTGATTTGAAGGTCTGCTTCCACACACACACACAAAAGAAACGACAAAGATGCAAACATTAAATGTATCACATTTGAAGCACTTTACCACGAAAGGATAAAAACCAACCAATAAGAATGCCAGTTTTCATACATCAAATAAACAGCTCAATAAAATTGCAGTCTACTATTACTGATAAAATGCAATTTGCATTAAATTCTTATCCACTAAATATACACTAGCCATGAACTTTTTAAAATGTAGTCAACATGGGCACTACAACAACAGAGCTCAGATGCTTTCTTTGTTCATCTTTCCAACTTCGATTTTTTAATGCCTTAAAGAACCTTGAATGAGACAACTGTAAGTTATGTTAAATGTCCTTTTCCTCAGTATTTCTATCTGCCTAATCTATGCTGTTGTTGCTATAGATGTAAAAGTAGCAGCAAGCAAGCTTAACTACAAAAGTTGTACTCAAAGAAACAAGAAACTTGATAATTAATGTCGTAGCTTTCTGTTTATTCAGATAAGATTAGATACCAGATCTCAGAGCCTGCAAAATTGTCTGAACACTCATATAGCATCACAAGACTCAACAAGAGTCTGAACATCCTCAGCCTGCATTCTTCGTTCTCTCAGCTGTACTTAAATTATACCAACAGCAGATGCAAACACAACGTGAAGATTTCTTCTTCCAAAATAGCTCTCTAACAACTTAAAAGTCTCAATCCTAAAAAGAGTTTCTAGGTTCCATCTAGCACCTTAATCTCAAAGATACAATCTCAAACTTGAACACGTGCTATCTGTGAGTACAACAGTTCTGAATTATCACGCAGTTTAACTGCAATAACATTATTAGAAATGTTCCAGATGAACAGTAATTTGGTAACTTGGAGACGGGGGGTTGTATATGTTCAAATACACCACAAAATACATGAAGTGGGTGGGTTTCTGTAGGTTTTGGTTGTTTTTTGTTTTTGTTTTTTTTTGTCTGTTTTCTTTTTAGTCACAATGCATTTTTTCACATATTAAAATAGACACAGAATTTTATTCACCTTCACTATTAGGTGAAGGTGACCTTAGCCACCCCAACTGCCAATGAGAAAGACATCAATATTTACAAGTGAAAGAATCAATTCAAGCACACAAGTGACACAAAATAGGTGACACTTGCTTAAAATAACTGTCTTTAAGTTTCACTGAAGGGTTAAATGTGCCATTCACAGGCTTTAGAGAAAATATCAAGTTCAAAATATCCAACTAAAAAGAGAATTTCTGTACTGAATTCAACAATAAAAATAACCTGAAGAAAGATACTCTGTTCCTCTCAAGACTATCTGGTAATAGAAACTATCTTGCTAATACACACAAAAGAGCTGAGATCAAACTGATGAACTGATTTACATCTGCCTAACAACTGCAAGATAATTCATCCAAAGCAGCAGCCAAAGGAAAGAGAGAGTCTTGAAATAAGTTTGGAAAGAGGGGTGGTATGAAAATACAGGAGAAAAAAAGAGTTGATATCAAAATAAAGAGGGAGGGGAAAATAGTCAGTATTTCATTTCTCACATTCTATTTGTCCATACTTCTCTTAATAAAACCTGACACCCATGAGTAACAGAGAAGCTGCTTTTATTCTCAGAATCAAGAGTAAGAAGAAAAACAGCAGTGCAGTACTGTGAGCAAGAGCTTCTCCATCAAAGCTATTTTCCATCCAGGGAAACTGACAGCTAATGGAGGTTTCTGGAAGATTACACGGTTCACATCAGATACTAACAATTTTATCTATCTATCATTAAGCACAGCAGACACATCAGATGTTTTCAAATGTACTCCATCCAACATTTGCTTTCAAAATATCAAATGTCACATTTTTTCACTCTGCCATTCAGAAAATCAGTCTCAAACACAATAAAAGCACATTTCCACTCTTTTTCCAGAAGTTCAAAAGCAGTTTCATACTTTCATCATGTTTTCCTCTAGGTTAAAAATCTCTCCACATCTACATCAGAAAAATAACTGTAACACTGCTTTTGCAGTTACCAATTACAAGTACTCCAAATTGCATTTGTGTATATGACAGTTCATCATGATGACAAAGAGCTACTGAAGAAAACATATCAAGATATTAATGAATTATTTCATGAATAAAGAACATATTTTCCTCTTCCTTTATTCCCTCAAAAACAAACCAGACAAAATCTAGGATCAGGAACTCTGCTAAAAGTAACACTTTGAAGTATTAACAACCTGACACCCCAAACTAACCTGTGGGTAACTTAACTGAGGCATGCTTGCCAGCAGCAGCAGAGACAAGAACGTACTGGCTATACAAATGCACCTTGTTCTTAAAAACACACTGCTAACACTGGTGCAGCAAGCACTCCTTAGAATAGGTTAGTTGCTCAAAGATAAACATTCAGAAGCCTGGAAAAGAACAAACATGAAATCTCCTTAGTTTGCTTACAATTTGTGGAAGTATCTTGTATAAACGCATTCCTCAAAAATGATTAAATTCCTGCATTAATTAAAATGATAAGTGCAAAATGAATATTACTTTGAGGTTCATTTCTTGATATCAAAATACTCCCCCACACTACATTTCTTTACAATAATTGCAGGTATCACTAAGCAAACAAAGGCACGGCATTCCAAAGCACCGCTTTCTGCAGCAGGTGTGTAAGGTCCCAGCACCTCACTCCTCCCCATAGACCTAACAGTTGCAGTTCTTTCTTACTTCTTTAAATAACATAGTCATTACATTTTTTAAAATCAATCAATTACTTGAGATAACAGAGTTGGCTTCTATTATATCTGCCATAGTGGATTAAAGCAGTCTTTACCATGCAGTAGGTAACAATTTTATTTTTTGTTTTCAGCAAATAACAATACATCAACATTACAGTTCTCCCCCTTTTATTTCTACGGGTAACAATTTTCCCTTTGTACTTATATTCAGCAATGCTTTCTTACGAGCCACTATGTCATGATGACAAGTATGTCCCCTCCCCTAATGAAAAGATGTGCAATCTGTTGTTCATCCAATCCATTCTGTTTCCAGCAATGACAAAGTACCTACTTTATGTCACATTCCACTGCATAACTAGCAAGAACATACCATTTTAACTGTACGTTTGTATTCTTAGAAGCCTTAAATTAGCACAGTTTTTAATATAACAATAATCCTATTAACATAATTCCCCTGCTTTGGAATGATAACATGCTCAAACAAATTTAAATGGTTTAAATTATAGACTATGTAGACCATTAAAACTATTAAAGACACCACGCTTACTGATCCTTGATCCAAAATTACAGCACACTAGAGTCACCCTTACTGTGGTTTGAATGCAGACCCAAATAACCTGATACAATTATTTTCAATTTGCTGTCTTCCACTACTTTGCAACCTTCATACTATTGCCACAATAATTAATGTTATGCACATGACAACTGAAATTAGAGAACCACAGAGACACTTTCGATTGAGTAAGATGTGTTCTAGACACTTACCATCAAGTTTAACAATTGCAGCATAGTAACAAAATCCTCAGGAACAATAATAATTGATTCAGAGAAAAGTTAGACTAATGAAAACTACTGATGTTGATATTTAACTTAAATGAAACACTTTCAGTTGGGCACTTATGCCCTTTAAACATTTTAGGTTCTTACCTACAAACTTCTAACAAACAAACAAACACAAACATTAGCTCTTTCTCTGAAGAAAGGGATCGTGCAAATAGCATTCCACCACTTCTTTCTTTCAGTTTGCATCTTTATCTACTGTGAGACATAAGCCAGACACACCTATTTCCCCCTTAAACAACAACTTTCTTTACAACACGAAGACGTAGCGCGGGTCCCGCACCCCCACAAAGCTGATGGCCATTGCCTGGGGCCTTGTGAGCCGTTCCCAGCCCCCGGCCCCGCCTGCCTCCAGCCGCCCCTCTTCACCTCATCAGCACCCACCTGACTTCCCCATGCTCCGGGCACCTTCTTAACCGACCAGTGGGGCGAGTTCTTCTCAGGAAAGGTGTGGTTTATCATTCTCTTCTAGGTTGTGAGTTCCTGAAGAAGCTAACTAGAAAAAAGACTGCCTCAAGTTGCTTAGTTGGTTCTACAGCCTTACTCGGAGGTCACTGAGGCAAAGCGCTTTCTTCTCTAACGTGGTTTCCCAAGGCAATCTGAGACAGTAATGCTGTTCTGAAAAAGGGACCGGAGAGGAGAAAGGAAAAAAAAAAGAAAAAAAAAAAAAAAAGGGGGGGGGGGGGGGGAGCCTTCAATATCTCGGGATTGTCACAGTGCTCTGATGGGAGTGGGTGCGAGTGCAGCTCGGCCGCCTCGGCTCTCTCGTCCTTTGAGGAGCGTTCGGAATGGCGGCGGCTCCTTGCGGCTTCCCGTTTCAGGCAGGAGTGGTGGCTGCCGCCGCGTACTGTAAAGCCCTGACGAAGAGGGCAGTTGGAAATGTCAGTACTCTTCAGCTTAGCTCGAGCACCGTCACTTTTGTAGGCGTTTTCCTCGGGTTTCTCGAAGCCGCGGGTCTCGCGGCGCGTGGCAGCGGGCGCGTGCCCTGCTGCTCCTCCGATTTTCCCGCCCACCTCGAGCAGAACCGGTGCTGCAGGGTCTTGTCTGCTAGACTGTTCTTCTATCGTGTTTCTCTTAAAACAAGCACAGTACTCGTTCCGGTGGCGTTTTAGCTTCGTGTTGCTCGACGAAGCGGGCAGTAGTTACGGTTCGGCTGGAGCTTGGAGTTCCGTAGCACTGTGATGGGTGTCTGCTCGCCCAGCTGAAGAGCCGAGCTTGGGCGGTGCAGCCTGAAACAAGTGCCTCCTAAGGTCCTCATACACCAGTGCTGTTCTTTCGTGTGCCTGATGCTGCTCAGAGTTGGTTTTGTAGCTAACCAGTTATGTGCATACGGGGCTCATAATGCCATCTATGGCATTTCACTTTTATTGATTATACGTTGCTTTTTTTTTTTTTTTTTTTTTTTTCCTTTGTTTAGGATACGTGAACGTGTTAAAATATGAGTGGTTGATTTACATAAGGTATTATAAAGAAAGTTGTGGAATCTAGTTGTAATACTTTAGCTGCAAGAAAAGTTACTTTTGCAAGGGAAAGAGTGAGCCTTTTTTGCTTTGCAGTAACTACTGATTCACTTGGTTGTTAAATGATTCTAATAACATAATCTCCTGAGTAGGTAAAAATCTTGACTTTTGCCCTTTTTTTCAAGTTAAGCAAAAGTTCTGTGCTGATAGTCATAATATTGATAAAAAGTAACATAAAAAGTAAATTTGAAGGTTTTATTATTTGTATGTTGGTTTAAATAAAACCACATTAACGTACTTTTCACGTGTTTATCATTACCAGTATACTGATTCATTTGCAGCATTTGAGTAGCACAGTGCACTGACCTTGTCATGGCATCTTACCTCGCAGTTGTACAAACAGAGCTGTACTGTCTATGTTACCACTGCTGGCAAGTCCAGGAGACACCTGTTCAGCTGGATGACTTCTGAAAGACTGCTCCAACACCCTTGACTTGTCATGTTGTGGTTGGCAAACGTGCCACTTTCCTTCTGAGCTGAATTATGGCTAGATGTTGTCTATAATAATTTGAGAAGTTTTATGCTTAATAGCTAGTGATCAGTGCATGCATATACTGCCCATGACGGTTGTCTTGGGAGAGGATAAGAGAAAGGCACAGAGTCCGCAAGCCCTTGCACATCCCCATTTGTTTAAATCCAGCAGGTTCTGCAAGAGGGGTGGAATTTAACTGAAGAATATTGTGGCAAGCACTGATGAGATGAGAAGGCACGACAGCCATGGGGAGATCAATGGTAGCTGCTTAAGGTAACTTAGGTAGCACAGTTTTTATGTCCTTTCAAGTGAGTTTGTGTGGGAGAGACCTTCATTTTAGAAGTTATTGCTTCTTAAAGTAAATGATTTCTTCTGGAGGTTTTGTTTTCTTTGCTTGTTTCTTTCCCATTACAGGAAGTTCAAGAAGCTTTAGAAAGTAGAATAACCATTATGGAAGATACGTTCCTCCAATTGTATTTTCTGTGACTTATTCATACTGTGTAGACAAATGCACAAAATATTCTAGCTTTTATTCTTAAATAGTTGTCATAGTAATCTCTGAGGAACTGGATTAATACTAAGAGAGTGAAGTAAACAAGTGAAGATAGAGAATCTGGAACTGTTAAACTAACTTTCTCAATAAATAGTGGAAAAAATCTAATTCCCTTACATAAGAATACTACTTTGCTTCAACTAGTGTCTTCAACTCAGATGAAATAAATGTGGGCTGTGGCAATGTTTGAAACAAGCATATATCTTGATTAATTGCTGAGAAGATGCAAACCTTGAGGAAGAGCGTTCTTCAAAGCGAATAGCTTTTTCTTCTCTAGTATTAGTAATTTATTTCTTTGGCCAGCATAATTTCAAAGAAAAAAAAAGAAGTGTTTTCTCTTTCATTTGCAGGTTCTTAACTTTTACTTGCAGTTTGATTTATTCTTACCTACTTGCTGTTCTGGGCTCCTTATCTTCTGTACTGTCCTTTTTGTGTGTGTGTGGAATCTTGTATTTTAAAAAGGCGTAAAGCTTTTTCTGACAATTTTTGGATGAATGCTTCTATGCAGAGGGGAATTGAACGAGATTCAAAGAGCAGGTTCTGAATTTGTTTTTTGCTTAGGTGAGCAGTTGTAGTAGTAGAAAGTGCTATTGGCTGTCTAGGGTAGATAATGGAAGAACACTTCTGAATTTGCTAAACTTCAAATATCTAATTCATTTGAGGAGGACCTCATTATGTTTTCCCAGGGTGATTCAAGTCATTTGGATAAAAAGTATGCCTGCTGTGCTTTAGATTATGTTGGAGGAACTCTTCAATTGAGAAAGAGGTTTTAAATTCAAGACCTACCACTCAGAGTCTGTGATGCATGTCTCAACTTAAGATAACAAAACCAACTTTTTCCAGGCAAATTCCATTTAAATAATTAGCAATTCAAAGTTGAGAATATTATTGTAGGCTGGAAAGTCAGTATAATTCTTATGTCAAGTATTTGTGAATGCTTACAGAAAAATAATTTAGAATTATTTGATGGTGCATGCCACGTAGCCTAGGAAGTATTAATCTGTATAAAATCCTGTAATGATATTGCAAGGAGACTGAAATACTTTAGACTTTTTTTCTCTGTAGAAGAGATCTTGTTTGGTAGTCAGATGGTATATAAATAATATAGCAATTGTTGATCAAATCTTTAAAGGGAAGCATGAATACTCTCTAGAACATACAGATAAAGAATAAGTTTTAGTGTCAGTGCACAGAAGTACATTCTGATGCATTTGCTTACATGTAAACAGTTTATTTTTTCCCCTTAAGCTGTCTTAGTAGAGTAATAGCCTTTAGAATTAAGCATAGAAATGGCCTGAAAAGAAAGCAGTAAAATTGGGTCTGCAGAATGTGGATTCTGTCACCTCTGCTGGAATGTGCTTCCACCCACTGCACCACTGTGCTCACACCACTGTTTGGTCTCCATACAGATTCAGCAAGTGTCAGTGAATGTCTGTGGGTGTGAGCTTTTCATCATGGAGGAATTCAGTGAGACACCTTTGCTTCCAGCACACTTTGATGTCAGATGCCGTTTTGTCAGACTGCTGCCATCTGTTGCACATCAACAAAACACAATGGAATATTGGTGAGAAAGTTCAGCTTTTACTGCCATACCACCACCATTCAATTCTGAAATTGTGGGCTAACATAATAAAACAGGAAGCTGCTGCCAATGTAGAATGAATAGCTCAGATAATGCATAATAAAAACAAAGAAAATAGAATTCTAGGAAGAGCTGTAGTGGCTGTGGAATCATTGTGTAGAACATAGCAAGTTAGTAACGTTTTTTGAAGGTTATAGTGGCTGTGTTTCAGATCTATTCACAGCACTTGTTTCATTTTCTGGGAATATTTTTTTCTTTCTCCAGCATAGGGTGCTTATTCAATTCCTCTTATTTCCATTGTTCTCATCTGTATTTCTGTGATGAACATTAGTTTTTACAATACCTGCAAGTGTTTGACTTAGGGAATCAAAGAAGAGCTCTAGGTAGAAAATGAGCTTTAGGCACGATGAAAGCACTGAAGTTAAAGAAGAGATCTGATGAAGTTTGATGTGCAGCTCAAAGCTCTGCCTCTATACATGTCCAGAACTGCTTTTGGCATTACGGGCCTCCTGGTGCATATCTCACTTCTAAGCTTGATAAGTATCATTATAGTGGCCATTTCCCTACCTCAATCTAATGCATATGATCATTAAGTGCTACAGAGCACACTGAAGTCATGCCGACAGGAGTGAGGCTATACACAAAACCCAGAAGTATTCTTAATACAAAATCCCACTGCTGTCTCTGATTAAGTCCCAGCGTTTGTCTAGAGAGCAAAAAATCAGACCTCTTCTGTCAGTCGAGTTTTAAAATCTCATTTTTTGTTTAATGTTTCAGATTGCTCTGAACAGGATAGAGCAATCTTTTTTATTTAAAAGCACCAAGATGTCTCTGCAATATGATAATGATGAGAACTTGATAAAAGTTTTTTTTATAACACAGAAAATGTTAGATAAAATAGATAAAACTTTTTCAAAATCCAATTGCTACAGCATATACGTGGAGAGAAAAACCTTTTTTACAAGGTAATAACAGAACTAGAAAATGCTTCTCCAGGCCAGAGCTGCGTGACAGCTCCCAAGAAAAAGCGGAAGCAACCTAAAGCTGATTCTGAATGTGAGATACCCTCTCATTGACTCCAAACTTTACTGATACTCATGGTATGTATAAAGTAATTCAGATACCATACTATTGCTAGTAGTACAATAGCTGAAGTGGTTTGTCAAGATCTCAGTAAGTAATGCTTCTGTGCATAGTGTAATTTTTAACTGTATAATGCAGTCCAATGTAATTTTAAATTACTTTGTTTGCCACACAAGCTAAGTGTTTGGTACAAAATAATGCTATTAGGAATAAAAAAGTAAAATTGTGAAGGAAATGTTCCCTTTCTGGATATTAGCTTAAATCATTTAAGCACTTCTGCAATATAATTTGTATTGGTTTTGTGACCTTCAGCTTTTCTGTCACGCATTTAAACTCTATTCATAATAGTATAATGATGGTGTGCTATCCCTGAGCACCTCAGTGCTTAGTGAACATTTTTGTGAACAATGACTGCCAGAAAGCATGAGATGACTATGGAGAAAAATGACTCTAGGAAAAGTTCCAAAAGTTCCTATTGCATCTATTAGAGGGAGGTAAGAGCTTGCCTTTGCTGTATAGTTTTGCTGTGCATTTCTATTTTCTATCAGTAGCACTCTTTCAAGGGAAGCAGTGTATATCTGAACCAGCCTTTACTGGTCATTCTGCTACAATGTACTTCTATGGAGTTGTTTGGGATGCTGCCAAAAATGTAAGAATTCTTTACTGCTTTTATAGACTATGGTAACACAATACTCAAAACAACACAGTTGATGAAACTAAATACATGTGGTGATCTGGATAATAGAAGTCTGAATCACTGTTGGAAATGGTAGGTCTAAAATAACTTTTATTGTCTTATTATTTTTTCCCCTCAGTGACATTTGTTTAATTGGCATTAAAGGTTTAGCAAGTAGTATTCTGTCATTCCAACTATTCTTTCCTGGTTTAAACTGGAGGCCAAGCTCAGCTGGTAGATTGGATTTTTGGGCTTGAAATTTTTCCCCTTTCTATTGCCACTGCCATACAAATAATCCTGTTTGATTTGTTTATTCTATGCTGTTTTCTGATACTCTGTCATGAAAAGAAATACTACTGCGAAGTACGAGTCAAAGATTTGTGCTTTCATGTCATAAAGAGCAAATGAGTTCTGACAACATCTGGAAGTGGTATGCCAAGAACAGCTAAGCTACCAGGCAGAGATGCCAGGTGCACTTTCCTGTCTCATATAACCATGGATTTCTTGATGGGTCCCTGATTGTTGTATCGTATGGGTTGATATCAGAATATCTTTGAGAACTAAGCATTGTAACATCTATGTTCAGCAGATCTGAGTGTTGAACAGTCACTGTGATCTGCTGATACATTCTACTCAATGAATCTATTTGTTTCGTGCCTTTTTAGATATGCAAGGGGAGTTTTGGAGAACACTGCCAAGCAAAAACTTATCAAGGCTTTCCATATAAAGAGGAGCCCAAAAGAGTAAGATGAAATATTGCTATATGATACATTGAGGATGACAGAGTTTTATGGTTCATATCAAGAATAAGAAAAACATGACAGCAACTAAACATAAAAAGCTGATCTCAGATGACTGGCTGCAGTTTTAAATGAAACATACTGAGACATATCAGTGCAAAAGAATGGATGGCAAGGCCGTTGAACTTCTATCGTGTATACGAAGTTGAATTAAGTACTGTTCCTCAGTTTGAGTCCTACAAAATGTTCTATGTTGATACATTCAGAATGTCAAACATTTTCAAATAATATTTGGGTAAATGTATCTCAAAATTGTGGAGAAAGAACACTTGCAATTTTTTAATGTAATAGTATGCTTGCAAGTTGCTTCATCTTCAAAATGCTACGTTCTCCTTCAGTTTCTACCCATGTTTTTCTTTTTATTTTGTGGTATCTGACTTTCATTACTATTCTTTTTTAACTTGTTTCCTATTAAAGTGTTTGCTTTTATTTGGTGCATTTCTGAATTGTTCATGAAGATTCTCCTGAGCAATTATGTCACACTATATACTTCCAAGGAAGAGGTTTAGCACACAGCATAAGCCAGTGTTCTCCCCTTTCTCTTCTCTTCCTTTGGCTGCTACATTTTATCGGTCTTTCTGGCAGTTTCTCAGTTGGACAATCCAAACAAACAGGGCCGGGTCATTGCTACAAGAGGGGTGTTTGTGTGCAGGCACACATTTGCAGGCTTCACTTCATTGTGACTTCTCTGCTGCATACTTGGCCTAATTTAGACATGATGGGGAATACTGGACTCTTTCCTGAATCAGTAGCTACAGGTTTGTTTTTGTTTTTTTGCTGGACCATTGCATTAAATTGATGTTCAGAGAACTGCAAATGCTGTGACCTAAATCATGATAAAAATAGGGAACAGCACAGTAGAACAGAGTAAGATAGGGAATAAGCTGTTAAGTTGCTTACTGAATCTTCTTCATCATGATTTTGGAGGAGACATCAGAAATTATCTAAGTAGCTCTGGCTGTTGGTTATCAGGAAGAGTAGTACAGCCTCCTACTTGGATTAATTCTACCATTCATCATCAGGCTCTAATTCATGTCATGAAATCAGCAGAAATTTGCCTATGAGTATCTTGAAGAAACAAACCTAATGAAGAAACCCAGATGAAGCCAGTTTTTTCTTTGATAGTTTTTCTTTGCCTTAAGTACTGAAAAATAAACCGATGTAAAAAGCATTTTATATCACTTCAGCATAAGAAAACTACTTTTAGAGATTTCACAGATGTCAACTCAGGTTCTGTCAAGTCAGGTTCGACTGTGTCAGTCCCACTCTGTTTCGTAACAGGACATGAGCAATGCAAGGTGACATTATGTTGCAGATGGGGAATAATATTTAAGGCTTCCTCAAACTTACAGCAGAATACTTGCCCTTTTTTCACAAAGCAGATGGATTCAGCAGAGAAGGCTTTTAAACAGAAACAGCTCTGCTGATGTCCTTGGAACTGTTTTCCTGATTTTTTGATTTTTTTTTTTTTCCTGTTTATTTGTCTTTAAGATAATCCTGTCAGTAAATATCGTACAGATAGGAATAGATTTTTAAACCAAACTAAACTGCTACAGTTACCTGAAATGCTGTAGTAAGCAGGTAATTACACTTTTTCCTTTTGTTACACAATAATGTATCCTCCCAAGTGGAACGGCTTTATCAGATGATATACCTGAGGATGATGTAGCTGTAGCATTTTTTTCAAGTCTTCTTCTAAAAATTTCCTTGCATATTCGTATTTTTTCCCTTCATTTTTCTATTTCAACTTTTAACTCAGTTTAAAATAAATTTTAAAAAATATCTAGGAATCCTTATGAGTGCTTAGAGAATTCTGAAGTGTTTTTACTTTTTTATGCTAAGGTTTCATTTTCTTTGCAAGGTGTTTTTAAACTGTCTAAGAAATGCAGCCATACAAACAACTCAGTTGCTCATTTACTCTTTGTCCCTTCATATCTTTATTCTTTTTTTGCTTGTGTGTGCACACTATTAGCTGGCCATAGTCTATTACATGCATTACATGTTCCTAGTTCTTGTTCAGTGATTATTCTTTTATCTTTAATGTAATCTATCTCTCTTTTTTTTTTTTTTTTTTTTTTTGCATTGTCTTTTTGTTCATAATTCTGTGTCTACTGAGACACAAACAACTTTATTTTTTCTCTAGTCACCCCTGTAGTTACTGCATGTACTCTAGAATAACATAATTAAGATCTAACGTAGGTCATAGGCTTTCATTGCTACTGTTTGTGAACTGTGGTTTAGTTAAATATGGTATATAATGCACTGAAATAATTCTTCATGAGCGTGAGAGATTCTCATTTTATGCAGCTGGTTTTCTAATCAATACAGAGCCCCTTCATACGTATTACTTGATTTGGATATTCTGCAAGGAATACTGCTTAAGTTTCCTATACTTCTGGATGTTATCAGGAGTTTACCTTAGGAGGGAGCATGAGAGCTTATAATTCCAAAGCACCTGCTTTTTCTTGCCCTGTCACTTTGTGCACATACAGGTGTGTACTGAGAAAGGAGCATCCAGAAGGCAGATCTGTGTAAGAACTGGTGAGAAGGCAAAGAATGACAAGTGAATGTATTGGATGGATCCAGTGAAGTATGATTTGAATGGGACAGGATAGGCTTTTTCTCATTCTGTTTCTTCTTTGAACATCTAATTGATCCCTCTGATTCTCCTTTAAGAGGGATTCTTTCCCAGAGCTGCAAGGCCAGTCTCCTTTCAAGGTTAATTGCAAATGTGGTGAGAGACAGACTAGCTTGGGGCAGCTCCAGTGATGCTGTAATTAGTCTCAGAAGGAAGGCAGAAGGGCAACTGCCAGGAAGAGTGTACCCAAATCTATACTGTGCTCAAAGGTCTGCATCATAGGGGAGATTTTGGCCATATTGCAAATGTGGCACCTGTGTTGTCAGAGAAAGCAGGAGTGTGTGTGTGTGCTGCTATGTGTGGTGGCCATGGCTGCCCACTTTTTCCTGTGTTTTCTTTCTCCATGAGTGTTTGGCGGCTTGGGGCTTTGCTGTGATGGCATCATAGTGTGAAGCATTTTTGAAAATAAATTATGTCAATGTAAGATTGTTTACAGTGTGTCTCAAATCGGCTTGGGAGTAGTGATTGCTTCAGAAAATGTTTGCTCTTTGTGTTTAAAAAAAAAAAAGTAATTGGAGTGTTGGGGTTTAATTTGCAGTGCAACAGGTGCTGCAGTTCTGGGCCGTTTTCAATCTCTGCCATCACTGTTGGGCAAATTGACATGGTTCAGTGCTGCAGCATGTTGTTTTCTCTTTTGCTTTAATCTGTGTTGCTCTTCTTAATCAAGCTGCAGTTTCCAGCTTGTTTTCTGCTATATTTATCAGTTTTGAAATTCAATATTTAGTCTATGGGAGGTCAAACAACATGTATACAGACTTCAAATATTAAAATCTCTTACTGTGTTTTCAAAACATTGATCCAGGAATTCTTCAGGAATTCTCTCTCATCTTTCCAAGCTCAAAAATTATCTACTTGAATGACAATGAAAAATGACTATGTAATAAAAACACAATGTGCTGTCAGCATGCAGTACATTGTTTATCTTGTGCCATTTTTCCTAAATTATATTGGTCTCCACCCCCCTTTTTTCCACTTTTGAGCACTAATCTATTTTTCTGGTATTGAGTCTTCATTTGATTTTTATCAACCATATGTAACAAATAGCATGGAGAGAATAGGAGTTTAATAGAAGGAGGTTTTTGCTATAGTTTTTCTTCTGAAAGCAAAAATAACTTCAGTAAGTGGATGGTAGTCCCTGTTCATAGGTTTATCTCTATGTTCCTTTGGTTCTGGGTGGTAGGTTTTTACCTCACTTATATTTTCTCACAATATGTATCTGTTCAACCACTAATAAAAGTATTACTGTAATTCTGTTTTTTGTGCCAATACCTGCTGCTATCTCAACTATTACTTCCTCTATAATGATGTAAAAGCTGATGCGTTTCACATGACTTCGTTTTTATGAGCTCATTTTCCTGCATAGAAGAATGGCTAAGTGGGTAGCCAAAGAGCTTATTCAAGCTAAATATTCCCATGGTTAACTGGTGTTGGTGAGGTACCACGTCTGCTCAGTATGATGTCTGTCAGTGGTGAAAACAAAAATTAGAATTCGTTTACACCTTTTATCTGGTTATCACTATGCATCTCTCATGCATAAAATGCTTTTTTTCTGATTTTCCCCAAAATGCAAAATTAGTTAAGTATGAAGCATAACAGCTTAAATATTATTTGTAGATTTTTCTGAAGACTTATATTGGATGCCTGACTGCGCTTCAGCAGAAGGCAGAAAAAGTAACTAATGAGATTTTCATTGTAAAACTGCACTATCGGCTGTCAATGGAATTGACTGAGATATATATAAAAATAAATTAGAATTTCTTGTACATTAAAATTAATGTAGAAATGTCAAAAGCAAATTTGAGAAGGAAAAACAGGAAATGCAAATAAAAATCCTGAAGGCAAATTTTATCACTAAACTTGATAGAACAGATGTTTAAGTATATGCAGCATTTGCTCAAATAACCTGTATTAATGTCTTAATGGCCTCAGCATCTCATTCAAGACAAGATATTGTAAGATAATGGGGGAAAAAAAGACATGACCTGAAATTGGTGTACTTTCATTGGGACTTAGGTTCAATTGTGTTGGTCTGAAAAATTCATTTCACAGCTTTAATGATTTTTTTCATTGTTCCAGGGCATAGTGTGTTTGGGGGTTTTGCTCTTATTTTTGAAAGCTGTAAGGTTATTAAACTAAGACAGTTTCTCTATTGATGTTGTACTTTCTGCTTCCAAGTGTTGGCAGTTGGCCATCCAGTTTGCAAAATCTGGGAACAAATATAAAGCTCTTGGAAGTGGTGTGTTGTTAAACATGGTTATGTTATAACAGATATTCGAGGATGCTTGCATGTGAGTTAGAAAGGGAGGAGCTTACTGAAGGCATGTGTCAATACTGAATGAACTCCAATTCCTCAAATATCTTGGATGAGGAAAATCTTTTCAGTATAATTGCACCTCATCTGCTTTATCTAACACATACCAGTACTTATATATATATATATATATATATGTCATCTTCACAAAATAGTCACCACTGAAACTTGAAAGAAAATGGAAACCTACAAGTCAAGAATAACTGCAGTATTTTTAAGTACAGAATATGTCAGATCTGATGGTAAAGATAAATTTGTTGTTCCAATGACAATATTTAACTAAAACAGGGAATGTTCCAATTGCCTCAGTTTAGGAAATATAAGGGTTGAAGCTCCAGGAGAGGCCAGTTGGGCTTGAGAAAGAGGTCTGACTTCTATGGACTGTGAGTTACTATGTGAGTGGAGAAGAAATTATGGTGGCTT